TTCTTCTGAAGCTAGGTCATGCTTTCTCCTTCTGCCTAAAATATCCGAGTTTGTGCCAATTATTAAAACTTCATAGTAACTTTGGACAGTAAGCAAGTTTTGAAACATTATATGCCTTTATTTGACAAAAAGTGAAATAAACACAAACAGAGAGTGTCTATCGCGAGATGTATAGTACTGGGCGAGAAACAGCATGGTAGCAGGTCATCTGTTGTGGAATAGGTCAGGTGACGATGGGTTTCATTTCTTTGGCTTCCTCTGAAAAATTCACGATCCTGATTTAGATTTAGAATTTAGTCAAACTCATATTTTCGGAGTTATGTATAAGTTGTTGAAAAGCATAAAAATGATATTTGGACGAAGACAAATTTTAACTAAAAGACCCATTGACAAAAAGTGTCACTGTGTATCGTTTGAACTTATTTTCATGTTTGTTTTCAGCCATTTCATTTTCTTGGTGTGGAGATCTCGATTTTGTTTGTGCCTCATTTCCTTTGGCTTGACAATATATTTTTATAGCGACTGTTTTGCACAGTAGTTGAAGAAGACTGTGCTCTTTAAAATACGTTATGAAACGAGGCGCTCCAAGCAATTTTGCAGAAATCATCGAGTGCATTTTGTGAGTATGGAAAAGAAAGAATCACGAAAATGTCATTGTACTTCGTATCAAAACTTTCATTGTTGCAAAACGCCTTACAAAAACCTAATCATCAGTATATTACTTCATGAAAATATATTTGTTCTTTCTTTTGATGTATTCAAAATAAATTTTACTTTATCCTTTGAGCTTTGTTTTGCGTTTTGAAACTCTTCCAAACGTTATTTTCAAAACCTTTCATAGATTCGCTCATAACTCCTAAAAGATATTTGGCCGTCTTGATTGACAGAAAAATGAATGAACATTTTATCTCAAAACTTTTTTTTACACTAAATTATATTCTATGAAGTTTACAAAGCAAAACAAATGTTACAATTCATAAAACATTCCATTCATCTTGAGTTTTGTTTTTTTAGAAAAAAAAAACATGTTGACATTTGTTGTCTGATTTCTAACGTTTTCGTAGATGTATACACTCAATGTGATCATCAAAGCGTTACATTTTACATTGATCTGACATGATGCTATTCGTCATATACGTTTTTTTCGTTTCTTTTTCATTTCAAATGAAACGCGTGCCGTCTTCAGATAATCATAATGACATATCATATTTGTGTCGCTGTTAATATTTATGTTCATCTCATTTCGTATATGTCAAAAAGAAAATCATCATTCATCATCTTTATTTGATCTTATTGAACAATCTGTTGAAAGGAAAAAAAAATCAGAATTCAACTAAGACAATTTATTCTAAATTCTAAGCTTAAAAAGAAAAATTCTCAGGGTAGATAAAATTTAGAAAAGAAGAAACATCTTTTTTTTTAACAATGCTCGTTGAGTATTGTAATGAAAAAAAAGTAACATAATAAAAAAAGAAGAATCAGATCCCTGTAGAAATTTTCTTTAACCGGACATTTAAGCTCTAATTAAATCATAGATTGATTTGATAGCACAGCCCATCATTGTAAATAATCCAAAATAACCAAATGAACCATAGCGACGTTTTTCAGGTTGACCCGTTGAATAACCCTAATAAAAGAAAAATAAAAGTTTCTAAGGAAAAAAAACAAAAATGAACAGTATATGTGTCACATACTCGGAAAAAGACTATTCGTCCAATTAACCAAATAACACCACCGATAGATGCAATAATTGGATATCTTATTGAACCTAAACTCAACATTAGAAGAAATTCAGGATAAACTTCTAATGTATTTTGATGTCCACGTTGAATGCCTAAATAAAATAAACAATAATTTAATCAATATGATTGAAATAATATATTAAATTTACAATTAAATTTTTTGCTTTGAGGATCTGAGTCACTGGAGTACAATTTTGGATATTCGACATTAAATCTAGATCAAAGAAAATGAGAATAATTTATTTGTACGAACTTTGTCCAAGGAATACTTTTAACAAATGAGAAAAAATGTATACATAATGAGAACAATCATCATGATGTCTAATATGAGTTCTTTGAAGTTCAAATTTTTAGCTGAATTGATGGATATGAATAAAAGTTTGAATAAAAAATTAATACGAAGATTTTTAAATAATCATTGATCCTAACAATATTTATTTTATAAAAATAATATGAAGTATGAAAATTAATCTTCTAGTATTCAATAATCTCAGTTGACATTATATTCTTGAAATAATAATTTATTTTTAGAGATTTTTTTGTCTAAATCTGATTACTCGTTTAGTAGATTAATCTATTATAGTTATCTAAAACTTATTAATCAATCGAATATATAAAAATAGTTTGAAGATATGATTGTCCACTTTCTTTTTGTATTTGATACTGAACTTATTTTGACACATATAAATGCAAAAATCACTTCTTAATTTGTAGAAATTATCCTATTTTACCAATAATACTAACTTTAAAGTTATTACATATAACTATTCGCTATATGATTTATTCGTTTTCATTGAAAAATTTTTCAATCTATAACTCAATATCAGAAACTAAATCTGAACAGAATGAAAACTATGTTGACAAAAATCAAAATGAATTTTCAAAACTAGAAACACTCTAAAATATACCGTTTACGAGCTTTCATGACATTAACACCCATATATTGTAAAACGAACCATGATGATACTGCTACACCAGCTGCAATACCATGTTCTTGTGATAGAGCAAAAGTGACAACTTTGGGTCCACTAATATTAGCATTCATCTTTGAATTTTTACAAATTATAAACAAATAAATCTGAAAAAAAATAAACTAAAATTGATTCGTTTAATTGATTATTATCATTAGATTTTTCTTCTTCTTGTCTGTTGTTTTTCCACATATTAATAATCATATACCAAAGAATGAGTGCAAAACAGAAATACGTCTTCGAAAAGCATATGGACATCAAGGGAAACGTATACACATCCATAGTGAAACGACGACGAAGACGACAACGATGACGAACACAAAGAATATAAGAAAAAAAGAAAAATATCGAAGAGGGGCGAAGGGTAAAGAGAAATGGAGGTTTGTACTATCCTGATTCACCGTCATATGATAAGATATATCCGAATAGATGTATTTATTTTCACAAGAACTTCAATACAATAAAAAAAAAAGAAAGAAAGTGGACAAAAAAAAGATGTATTCGAATATGAATCCAATTTGTTTAAAATTCTCTGCCCCAAAGAGAACGTAAAATTCGAGCATCAGTACTTGAAAGTTGTGGTCCGAACAATGGTTTCCATTGATGAAGATAAAAGCATAACCAACTAGAATAAAAGAATAATAATAGATTTGTCTTTTTTATCCAAGAGAAAAAGAAACATTATTTAACATACAATAGATAACAGCAAGCCGATGTTAACACTAGCATAATTTGAATAAGACTAAAAGAATATTTTAGTTGAAAAACAAGAGTACTTAATATATGAAAAATTTTACCGTTTATTAGGTCCTTTGGGAATAAAAAATGGTAAAACAATTCCAATTAAACTCCAAAAGACAGTAAATACAATAATAGCAATACCAAATTTTTCCATTCTTAACGAAGAAAAAAAGAATAATCTAGAAGAGAACTATTTGAAACTAGCTCAATAGACACATTGATGGATAAAATCATCTATCTAGACAAGAGAGAAGTTATATTTAAAGACAAACAAAAAAGAAAT